TCTTTCAGGAGGGAAAAAACACAGACACAATTAATCGTCGATCCCCCAGAAAATATGGAAAATATCGGAAGTGCTGGGGAAGACAGAACCCCCCAAAATATGAGAAAATATGGGGGATCTTTTCATTTGTGTGTATTTATTTGTGTGTCCCAGGGCCCCTTCATTCTTGACAGCGTCTGGGGGTCGACGAGGTAGCGCCGACTTGGCCCACGGCGGTGCCCTCGGCCCGTCCGGGGGGGGCGAGCGTGGCGGCCCGCTTGCCTGCCGCGTGCGAGTGGGCGCCCTGTCGGCGCCGACCCTCCTCGTCGCCGGCGTCGGCGTCGTCGTCGCCGTCGTCGCCGTCGTCGCCGTCGTCGCCGTCGGCGTCGTCGTCGGCGTCGTCGGCGTCCGCCGCCCGCCGTCGTCGTCGCCGTCGTCGCCGTCGTCGCCGTCGTCGTCGTCGGCGTCGGCGTCGCCGTCGTCGCCGTCGCCGTCGTCGTCGTCGGCGTGCGCCGCCCGCGTCCCCCCGAAGGCTTCCTCTGGCGGCGCGGCGCGGCCTGGTTTGTAGGGTTACGCCGGGCACGTCCCTCTACAGGAGGAATCTTCAAAAATGGTCAAAACATAGTCTGGGGACGGTTTTCCCATTATTTTTATCAAAACCATTTTGGAGTTTTTTTTTTGTTGCTGCATATTTTTATGTTCTCTTCCAAAATCCCCCTCACACCGAGAAATCCACGCGGAGCGCCAACAGTTTACGTTTATGGTGTATTTCAGAAGAGGAATAGGTACCCATACCTCTACCCTTCCCCGTTTTCCTTGTTTGGGCCTCCTCGGCGGCCCTCGTCGCCACCGCTGGACTCACCTCGAAATCCGCACCCCGGGAGAGACCCGGGGAGTAGGGGTATCGGTACCTTCTGATTTCCCCATAAATGGATGCTGCTTCTGCCGTGGGGTCTCCGGACGGAGACGGCAGAGAGGGCCACACAGCTCGTGCACCCCTGCCTTGAGCGAGCGAATCGATACAAGAACACATCACGTTAATGCAGTTCGCTCTTTCCCTAATCGCGGCTCCCCCGTGAAACATGATGCTCCGCAGGCATGTTCTCAGGACGACCGTCGGCTGGATTCCTCAGGCGGCCAGCGAGTGACATGCACCACAATGCGCCCGCACCAACAGTTTCATACTTGTACCCATAGTAGTTCGACGACATCTGACAGGATGGTGTCACTCGAGCGTATTTCGTCCCCTGGTTTCAGGAAGGTATTCTTCTGGTTGGCGCGGCATGCCGTGGACGCATAGCCATGGAATCAGAGAAGAGCCTTCAAACGGGGCCAGCCCGAGATTTTAGTGCGCTTTCGTCAGTTCGTCTGTGCGCATCCTTCTCCCCTAAAGGAACCCAGTTTCTCGTTTCATCCGTTTGGTCAAGTGCGTGTCAGAAGAATTCAATGTCTAGTCCGCGCTGGCCGCAATGCTAGATAGTGTCTCCAGTGCGTTTCGCACAGCTCTGATATGGTCAACGAAGCGCCGCACCCTGAAGTAGTCCTCGGCCCCCGCGTCAACGAAGCGCCGCGAACTGCCGCCTGGAATTTCCGCAGCGTTCGGTGGCCCCCGATGCTGTCCCGCCGAGCTCGCAGCTTGAGGCGTTGGGCTCTCCTGCGTCTACTTCGGTTGATGCCGCTAGGGTCCAGTTCCCAGTCCCATGATGATGGTGATGACGAGGATGGTCGGGGAGGCGGGGCATGATGATACTCAGTCGGGAAACACGAGGGAGGACATGCTGGATGTTGCTGTTGATGGTAATGCTGATAATGATGCTGATGGTGATGCTGCTGATGATGATGATGATGCAACTGATGATGATGATGAGGATGATGCTGATGATGATGCTTGTATTGATGATGCTGCTGATGATGTTGATGATGACGATGATGAAACTGATGCTGATGATGATGGTAATGATGATGAGGATGCTGATGATGACGCTGGTGGTTCTGAGGATGACACGGTCGATGATGATTTGGATGATGATGATGGTGATACGGATGATGGACATGATGATGTTGATGATGATGATGACGATGCCGACGCTACAGACGATGTTGTTGACAGTGATGATTGCGATGATGATGATGATGATGATGGTGACGATGATGATGACGATGATGGTGATGATGATGCAGATGATGATGATGCTGCTGATGATGCTGATGGTAATTTTGCCGATGGAGATGCTGACGATGCTGATCAGGAGGGATGTGGGGCAAATGATGATGGTGATGCTGATGGGTATGTTCATTATGCTGATGCTGAGAATGATGGCGAAACTGATGGTGATGATGATTTCAGGTGATGCTGATGATTACGACGACAACCGCGACGACGCTGAGGATGGCGATGCTTATGATGTTGTTGCTGATGATGATGGTGGTGACTTGTGATGGTGATGATGCTGCTGCCGATGATGAAGACTACGATATAGCCGATACAACGATGATGCTGATGATCATGATGATGGTGCTGAAAAAGATGATGATGCTGCTGCTGATGATGATGATGTTGCTGATCCTGCTGATGATGAATCTGCTCATGGAGGTAATGCTGATATTGATGATGGAGACGCTGATGACGATGCTGATGATGATGCTGATTGTGATCATTGTAATGATGATGCTGATGATGCTTACTGATTATTGTGATTCTGCTGAAGCTGGTGGTTGTGGTGGTGATGACAAGGATGTCCAGGGAGGTTTGGGCTTGATGATGCCTAGGCGGAAACGACGGGGGAGCAGGATGAGGAGGAAGACATGCTGAGGATGCTGCTGATGATGGTAACGCTGGTAATGATTCTGATGGTGATGCTGATCATGATGATGATGCTGATGATAATGTGGATGGTGATGATGATGATGATGATGATGATGATGATGATGATTACGACAATGATGATGACGCTGATGTTGATGATGCTGATGATGATGATGACGATGATGCTGCTGGTGACGATGATGACGATAATGATGATCGTGCTGATGCTCGTAATGATGCTGATCATCATGTTGATGTGGTCACTGATGATGATGCTTCTGACGACGATTTTGATGAAAATAGGTTGATGATGCTGATGGTGATGATGATGCTGCTGCTGCTGATGCTGCTGATGATGATGCTGATGATGGTGCTGCTGAATGATGCTGATGCTGATGGTGATGATGATGATGATGCTGATGGTGTTGGCGGTGGTGATTTCGATGGTACTGCTGCTGATTCCGATGATGCTACAGCTGATGATGATGACGCTGGTGGTGGTGGTGGTGGTGCTGATGATGCTGCTGATGGTGGTGCTGATGATGATTGCAACTGTGCCGATGGAGAGGATGGTCGGTGTGTGTGTGTGTATGATGAGCTTGGTGATGATGATACCGATGCTGATGCTGATGATGATGATGATTATGTTTGTGATGCTGGTGAAGCTGCTTGTAATGATGATGCTGAAGATGATGATAGTGCTGATCCTGATTCTGATGCTGCTGCTGCTGATGATGATGACGATGCGGAGGAGGAGGAGGAGGAGGAGGAGGAGGAGGAGGAGGACGAGGAGAACAAGTAGGACAAGGGATGGTGTGTGTGTGGGGGGGGGAACTGGACCAGGCCGTGGTTTCCGGGAAGGCGATCATGGCGACGAGGCAGGCGACGAGGATTAGTAGGAGGAGCATGTGGAGGAGGATGAAGAGGAATAATGCGGAGAAACCAGGAGGAGTATAAATTAGGACGATGAGGTGAAGGGGGAAATTCAGGATGAGGGTGATGATGATGGCGATAGTGATGGTGACGCTGATGATGACGATGATGATGGTGATGGTGGTGGTGCTGATGATGATGACGGTGACGATGATGATGATGATGCTGATGCTGATGCTGATGATCATGATTATGTTTGTGATGCTGGTGAAGCTGCTTGTAATGATGATGCTGAAGATGATGATAGTGCTGATCCTGATTCTGATGCTGCTGCTGCTGATGATGATGACGATGCGGAGGAGGAGGAGGAGGAGGAGGAGGAGGAGGACGAGGAGAACGAGTAGGACAAGGGATGGTGTGTGTGTGGGGGGGGGGGAACTGAACCAGGCCGTGGTTTCCGGGAAGGCGATCATGGCGACGAGGCAGGCGACGAGGATTAGTAGGAGGAGCATGTGGAGGAGGATGAAGAGGAATAATGCGGAGAAACCAGGAGGAGTATAATTAGGACGATGAGGTGAAGGGGGAAATTCAGGATGAGGGTGATGATGATGGCGATAGTGATGGTGACGCTGATGATGACGATGATGATGGTGATGGTGGTGGTGCTGATGATGATGACGGTGACGATGACGATGATGATGATGATGATGATGATGATGATGATGATGATGATGATGCTGTGTCGATGGTGATGATGATTACGATGTTGATGCTTATGCGGATGCTGATAGGGACGACGATGACGAGAGTGATGATGATCATGATGATGATACTACTGATTATGATGATGCCGGTGATGATGCTGCTGATGATGATGGTGATGATGATGCTGCTGATGATGCTGCTGGTGATGCTACAGCTGCTGCTGATGGTACTAATGATGATGGTGGTGGTGGTGATGCTGATGCTGATGTTACTGCTGCTGATTATGATGCTGATGCTGATGATGCTGGCACTGATGATGGCTGTGACACTGATACTTGTGATGCTTATGCTGATGATGATGCTGTTGATGCTGATGATGCTGAATATGATGATGATGCTGCTGATGATCATGATGATGCTGATGCTGATGCTGATGCTGATGATGACGATGATGATGATGATGATGATGATGATGATGATGATGATGATGATGATGATGATGATGATGCTCGTGCTCGTGCTCGTGCTCGTTCTGATGCTGATGCTGATGCTGATGCGGCTGCTCAAGCTGCTGCTGATGGTGAGGATCAGGACGAGGCCGATGGCGAGGATCGCATGGGGAGCTGGAGGGAGAGAGGCCCGCTGAAGAGGAGGAGCACGAGCAGCGCGAGGAGTGCGCGGAGCAGCGGCCCCGTGGACAGGGACCCTGGATTGCAGCCGATGACAGCGGGATCGCCCCCGCCCCGCCCGCGGCGCCCGTCCGCGCGCTCCGACGCGGCCACCGTCGGGGCAGCGTCCTCTTGGGGTCGTCGTAGGGGTCGGGAAGGGGGAGGACGAAGGGGAAGGCCCCACACCATCGTCGAGCTCTCGGTGGTGCTCGGGGGGTGGCTCATGTCTAGGTGCAGACTGGATCGCCACGCGATGTGGAGGAGGAGGAGGAGGCGGACGAAAAATTAAAAATTCCAGGAATTTGCGGATGAAGGAGGGAGTTGGAAAACGAGGTGAAGCTGGTTGATTCTTTTTTTTTTTTTTTTATTTTTTTTTATCCCCCCCCCCCAGCCCTCCCCCCCACTATTTTTTTTTTTTTGTTCTGTTTTTTAATTTTATTTTATTACTTGTTTGATTTTTCTTTGTTTTTTTGTTTTTTTCTTTTTTTCTTATTTCCTGTGATTGACTTGTTTTCTGCTTTTTTTTATGCTTATGTTTTTTTTGTTTTGATTTTTAAATAATTTTATTTTCGTATTTGTTTTTTTTGGAGTTTCTTGTTGTTTCTTTTTGTTGTTATGTAGGTGGAGCGGGAGAGGGCGTATGAGCAGGAGTAGAATGAAGGTAGATGGAAGGTAAGGGGGAGCGGGAGGGTAAGCACGATGTTGTTGTTCCATGATGACGAAGACGACGATGATGATGAGTATGATCATGATGATGCTGCTGCTGATGATGATGATGCTGGTGATGATGATGCTGCTATTGAAGATGTTGGTGACAATGAACATGACGATCGATATGATGATGCTGATCATGATGCTGCTGGTGTTGTTATTGCTGATGATGGTGGTGGTGGTGATGCTGATGCTGATGGTGCTGATGACAACGAAGACGAATCCGAAGCGGAGATGGGTGATGATCACGAGGGTGGTGGTGATGGTGCTTGTTCTGATGTTGGTGATGATGATGCTGCTGAATATGACGATGATGGTGGTGGTGGTGATGATGGTAATCATGGCGATGATGATGCTTCTGATGCTGCTGATGATTCTGATTATGATGATGATGATGATGATGATGATGATGATGATGATGGTGATGATGCTGATGATGATGATGATGATGCTGATGCTGATGCTGATGATCATGATGATGATGCTGATGCTGATTATGATGATGATGACGATGATGATGATGATGATGTTGATGATGTTGATGATGCTGATGCTGATGATGATGAGGATGAGGTGGATGTGATGATGAGGATGATGATGATGCTGATGATGGATGATGGTGATGATGGTGATGATGCTGGGCATGATGCTGATGATGATGAGGATGATGCTGATGATGGTGATGCTGCAGCTGATGATGATGATGATGATGATGATGATGATGATGATGATGATGATGATGATGATGATGATGATGAGTAGAGGAGGATGAGGAGGAGGAGGAGGAGGAGGAGGAGGAGGAGGAGGACGACGACCAGGGCGATGCGGAGGGGGCCAGCAGGAGGGTGACCGGCTGCGGCAGCATCCGGAGGTGCCTCCGTGGCCCTCCGCGCGGCGCGCTGCACAGCCCCCTCCCCCCCCCCGCAGGGGCGGCGCCGCTGCTGGTCCCGGAGCTGTCCCTCCACGTGGACGGGCAGGGATGGGGTGTTTGCATGGTGATGGTGATGCCTCCTCCTCCTCCTCTACCTCCTCCTCCTCCTCCTCTACCTCCTCCTCCTGCATCTCCTCTCCTACTTTTTACCCTCCGCCTCCTCCCTTCATTTTACTCTCCTCCTCCAAGAAACGCATGAAGTATTGCTAGGTGTTTGTGCTCGTCCATTTTGGCTCAAGATGATTTCGCCCCGTGGCAGAGCACGGAGACCCTTGGTCCAGGGACAGCTAAGGACACGCTTTCATATCCACGCCCTCCTGCTGCCCAGCGGGTTGAGCTTCATATTCGGTGCTGCATTCGCCTGCAGACACCTATACGCGCAATACGCAGAGGCTGGCGCGGGCCTCAGATCGACGACATGGGTCCTCCTGGAGATTGCCTGGCCAGCGCTGCATCGACCCCTCGTGACGGAGCCACAGATCCAGTCAAGCGACAACAAGACCCTTGGCATGACAGCGCCTCCAAACTTGCCGTTCACGACCTTCCAGCACATGTTCGGAAGCAGCTCGAGGAGACCATGGCCGCCCAGATCAAAGATGCCACCGAAAAGTTCGAGGCCACAGCCAAAGCAGTCACAGCAAAGGCCAGCTCAGAGTTTCTTGCCTCACTCACGCAGATCACGTCCGACCTCAGCAGACGCCACGAAGCCACAGAGCGCGACATCACCGCAGTCAAGCTCCGCACCAATGCCCTGGAAGAGCAGAACTCCGAACTCAAGTCCGCCGTCGCCAAGCTGGAGTCCATCATCACAGCAGCTGAAGCACGCGCTCCCGCCCTCAACCTTGACAGCTTGGGCAGCTGGGACCGCGACCCCGACATCACTACCTTCTGGTGCAGCAGCCCTCAGGAATTCGGACAGCAACACCTTGAAAAAGCTCTCACCCCATGGTTCCAGGCCGCCAACATCAAGAAGGACATGGTCATCTTCAACACGGTCGGCCCCTCCAGGCGCCACTCCTTTCAGGTCAGCGGTGGCACAGTGGTGGCGGAACCTCGGGCACAACGTCTTCACAACTCTTTGCGCAATGGAAAGGATTGGCGCACATTTACTCTCGATCTTGGTAATGATAAACACGTTCCTCTATATGTCTCCGCCGACAAGAGCCCGAAGGCCGTCCGCACGGAGGTCCAGATCAAGCGCCTCGCCAAAATCATGCAGAACATCAAGCCAGACCTCGACGCATGCACACAGAACCCTGGGTTACATATCGTACCGCGGTGAAGCTATGGTGCGCCTTCTTGTTGGCGGCAATGCTGACGTACCTACTAAGCTCCAATGGTCACAGGCCGCCAACAGACATGTAATTACCGAAGACGACCAGAAGCAGATCGCCGCCGAGTTCACCAGCAACTTCGCAGACCCCCTCACAGCCGCACAGTGGCTTTAGCCTTCGTTGGAGCCCATGGCTCCTGAAGCCCTCTCAGGAGGGCCTGAACATCGCCTTCTGGAATACGCAAGCTCTTCTTGGACACTCCGACCTGCGCCGCGCCGACAAACGACAGCAGCTTCTACCATACTTTCGCCAACGAGCTCTTATCGCAGTGCAAGAGACACATGGGACCCTGGACGACCTCACGCTGCTGGCGAACTCTACCCAGCATCGGTACAAAGCTTTTCACTCGCCCGTGATGGTAAACAGGCTTCCTCGTTCCTTACGACAAGGCAGAACTTCAACTTCCTCCAGATGAACGGCCTCATCACAGGTTCGAGGTCGTCATCCCTGGCCGAGCTGCCTGGCTTCGGACCACGGATGCCAGCCTCCAGCACGAAGTCACTGTTCTCAACATTCACAACTTCGGCCTGACTCCAGCAGATCGGCTACTCTTACGAGACCATTGGCACGCTCTACGCCAACATGCTGATGAAGTCCCACAGCAGCGGCTTCTAGTCATCGTCGGCGACTTTAACGTCTCCGAGTTCCCGCCCCGATCGATTAACACGCCTGTCGACTCAGATGCCACAGCATCACAGCGATATCAGTACCAACATGTCTTCTGGCGCAACCTATTCCGCGACGTCATCGAGATTGTGACTCCCTCGACGACGCACAGATCTGAGGCTAACAAAAACGAATCGACTATTGACCGCTGCTTCATCAACTTGCCTAGCCACCTCATGCCGATCATGGAAACTGTCTACATCGCCGACGACGCTCCCCTCGAGAACCTCAAGGGCCCCGTCAGCGACCACAAGATCATGCACCTGCGCATCCGTCTCCGCAAGCCCAAGACGGTCACCGAGCGCGGCATCCCCTCGTACATTTTCGACACTGACCACTACAAGCACCACGTCTCCAAAGTGCTTGCCACAGTGGACATGTCTGTCCTCACTCCCACGGCGCGCTGGAGGGCCTTGAAGGCAGCCATGAGAGTTGCCGCTGCCAGAGCCCGTGACACGCTTCTCAAGATCCCAGCCGCCGAACTCTCATCTCAAAATGCTACTGTCAAAAAGGAAACCAGGGCCATGACGCTACGCAGCATCGCCAGAGCCGTATGGTACCAGAACGTTCCCCTCGCCCAGACGTTGATCGACAACACCGACATCGGCAAACTGCACTTGAAGATTGATGGCCGCTCCGTCAGCATCAACGACATGCACGACTTCTCCTCGACCACCGACGCCACGCACGCGAGCCTCAGCGACGAGCGCAAGGCCCTCTCCGCGGCACGCTCGCGAGCCGCTTTCGCTTCCAACAATGTCCCGCTCGGTCAGAAGTGGCGCCAGCGTGCCAAACGGGAAGGCCTCCGCGGCGAGCTTTGGAAGCCATTCTCCAAGCGGCTCGTCATGGCGGGCGTCAAGATCATCGCAGGCGGCGTCACCAACATCGTCTCCGACCCTGCGACGATGCACCAGGCCATCATGCGCCGCTGGGCCCCCGTCTTCGCTGCAAAGCACGTCCCCGAAGATGCCCTTTCCGACTACCTCGACTCGATCTCCCCCAGACGTGCGCTCACCCACCTCGACCTACCTGACGCCCAGGCTCTTGAGAAGGCCGCTCGCCTGGCTGGTGACTCTGCACCAGGGCCAGATACACTACCTTACAAAGCTTGGCTACGTACTCCCGACAGCTTCGACATCCTCGCCGACTTCTGCCGTGACACCGCCACCAGGCGAGCACCACCTCACGGCCCCAACTACTCCCTCATGGCCATGCTACCGAAGGGCGTCGAGCCCTGCGGCAATGCCGAGTGCACCCGTGCTCCAGAGTGCCTACGCCCGCTTTCAATGAAGAGCTCGGATGCGAAGCTGATGGCACCCGCCGCCAACCGGCAGCTTCACGCCCTCGCAGCCGAGACGTCCCCCGAGCAGCAGGGATCCGTCAATGGCCGCCAGTTTTTACGTAACGTCGTCGTGGTCGACGCCGCCGCTCGACGTCACAGTCTCTCACCTAATGCAGCTACTGACAAGCCCGTCTTCGTCAGCATGGACATCGCGGCCGCCTTCCCCAGCCTCGGCCACCACTGGATGTGGAATGTTCTCCAGCGTTGGGGCATCCATGGGCGCATGCTACACCTGCTTCAGGCTTGCTACCACTGGCCCGTCTCCTACCTGGACCTGGGAGGTACACGCCGCCCCCCCTTGATCGCAGCATCAGGAGTCGCTCAGGGATGTCCGTTAAGCGGCACGATCTGGGCACTCGTCTTCGACCCCGTCATCAGAGCCCTCGCCAGCGAGCTCTCAGCCGTCGAGCGCGGTCTGGTTAGCGCCTGTGCCGACGACCTCGGCATCATCCTCGCGAGGCTCGCAGACATCAGCAAGCTTGCGCCGCGCATCATTGCGGTGGAGACTCTCGCGGGCCTGTGCCTCCAGGCCAAGAAATGTATCGTGGCCCCGACCTGGGCGCTGCCCACTCAGGACATCATCGCAGAGATACGTCAAGTACTTGCTGCCGCTCACGCCCCCTGGGCTTCCTTCAAGGTTGAGTCCAGTGCCCGCTACCTTGGTTTCTTTGTCGGCCCTGGCGCCACTCTTGATGACCAATGGCGCGGCCCTGCTGTCAAGTGGTGGGACCGCATTGATAAGCTAGCCGCGTCCCATGCCCCTATTCAGCAGAGCATCAAACTTTACAACGTCGCCGCCGTCACGGTCCTTGGCTATGTAGGCCAGCTGTTCGAACCATCGGAGGGCATCCTCCAGAAGGAACTGCAGGCCATCCACAAGTTGCCGCGCGTCGCCCCGTCCAGCTTCGCGAAGTCCGACATCCTTGCGATGTCCCTCTGGACCAAAGCTGAGGTCCCCATTGGCATCGAGAACTACCTGGCGGCCACTATGTGGCGTACTGCCACCACCACGGTGGCAGAGTGGCGCGACGCAGCCAACGCGCTCTGCGACGTCGCGTACGAGCAGCTCCCTTTCGTCACAGCGCAGCGCGGCCACTGGTGCAGCGAGTGCTGGTCCATCAAGACGTCCATCGTCCAACGCTTCGAGCACATCGCCAATTCTACCTTCTTCCCCGACTGCAAGGGCTCCCACTTAAAGAGGCTGACCCGCACAGCTGGCCCTCTTCCTCGCGCTCGAGCCGCTCTGATTGGCATCCATAAGCGAGCCGCTCGTGCTGGAATGCAGGCTCTTCTACAGCAGCAACATGAACTGCGCCGCCGCCGAGCAACACAGATCACGCCGCAGAAGGCCTACATGACGTCCCTCAACGAGCAGCTCTACACCGACACGATGGCAGACACCATAAAGCGGCGTCTCCTGTCCTGGTTCCCGTCCCTTGACCCTGCGAAGTCGTTCACCAGGGAGCCTCTCAGCGGGCCTCGCCGAAACGCCGAAATCGAACAAGAACGTCTGGCAGATCGCGCTCGAGCGTGGGCTGCCCGCTGGCTACCCGACATCCTGCTCAACGACCGCACGATCGACAACCACTCAGACTGGATGCAGTGGTGCACGGAGTACCTGTACGAGCTCCTCGGCTCCGAGACCTTTCGCCCGCTTTACGCCACCTCCACCCGCCGTCGACAGATCGCCATCGACATGT